CAGTTTTCGTAAAACAAATGTGGCCATGCTTTGGAACTGACATACAAATGTGAAGCGAAGTAGAGTCCCATTTACTTGAATCTATTACTCCTCTACCACTTTGCCAACTGAGACGCTAACTCGAGTCGAACCCCCAACCTGGAGGACCAGGAGACTGGACTTCGTCTGATCTCTACTCTTCGACCTTTCAGGCATGATTAGATCTTCGGGTTGACAAAAGCTATCCCGTATAGCTCGTCGGGTCAGAGAGATACACAAGGCATCACACCACGTCAAGGTGCAGTCTCGTCGTGATGGTTTTGGTCAATTGAAATGGTTTTATTAGGTACAAGTTTTGTTTTCTCTTTCCTCCTCGGACCGCTTATACAAAAGATAACAAATAAAAGAAGACAATTAAAAAAATAGTTGGAGTGCGTTTACGGTTCAACTCACATCGAAAGCTGCATAGTTTATTCGTATGCGGAGCGAGGAGATCTCGAGCTCCGATCTCCACCATTATGTATCAGGTCATCATTCTAATTGGCCCACAGAAAACGGAATGTAGGGCTAATGACTTGACAAAGTAACCAGCACCTATGACAATACATTGCTATGCTGATGAGCATACACGATAAATGTGCAACTTTATGGTGAAATATGTCCGCATGTGTGTACAGCTATATTTGTAAGTACAAACGTAGGTATATACATGTATAGGTGCAACGGCAGACACAGTAGCAATCAAAATCGTAAAACCAACGTTATGCAAACAAAAGAAAATGATTACCGCACTCTAATTGTTTGGGTGCCGCTCCACCCTACATAACGAACCGAACCATGACCTCAATTATGCCGTGATGACGCAACGTGGAGTGAAATGACCCACGTGTACAAGGTCATCGGAAGTTGACCTTGGTCTCCCTTCCGCATTTGCCCCTATTAAACTTAAATATAAACAACTGTAAATGCCTGCAAGCATGTTCACCATATTGTTTGATTCCTGAAAAGGAACTTGACGAAATCATCTGTTCGTCTATATCATGATTATAGTGGTCTGTTTGTAATATGATTCGTTTTTATTTACTCACTGCATCACCGGAATCGCTTAGTATTACTATTTTAGTGCCGAACGACAGTAAATTTTCTCGGCGGATTGATACAAAACCCTCCGAGTGATATTTCCCTTATTAAAATGACATTACTCTTGAGTAGTGTAAAAGATACAAAGATACACAGGTAGTGTAATCAATGTTTAGAGATTGAAGATTCTCATTTGTAACATTTGAGAACAAAACACGAAATAGCAAACCAGCTCGTTTTCGATAACTTCCTCATCTGGCTAATACAGTTATATAAACCGATAAAATAATAACAATAATCTAAATTTTAATGCTCATTGATACATGAGCCTTTATCATTGGGATGGATTACAGTTAGGTACAAAACAAGGACCTGGACAAGATAAGTTGTTACATCTTAGTCTTAAGTAGATGAGCGCGCGGGGGGAGAAATGTAAATTTCGCGTATAAGACAATTCTTTCAGGAGCTGTCCCATTCTGGGTGAAAACGGACTCGGTTGTGCAGATTGGGACACGATCCTCGCGATCGCGCATTACTTTTTCAGTGTTGAAATAGTTCTCAGGTGAGGTCGGGTCATAGGATTAACGGCTGATGGCAAAGAGAGTCCAGTTTCCTGCGCAGTCGAGCTCTAATGTTCTTGATGCGCTTCTGAATTCTTAGTTCCAAGAAGAGGGGTTTCTCTTCAGTAGGATCTGAACGAACGTTTTTTGTCCAAAGTAGATTTTTCTTTAGTTCATCTTTATTTCTTTTTTGGTCATTGTTAGCCACATTATTGTCCCTAACCTTGCCAGCAATGTTTTCTGTAAACTAAAATCTCATTTTTGTCGTTTACTTTCGCTGTTACCAATCAGTTCTAACAAAAGTTGCTACGATGTTCTCTTCATTTTCTCTCCAGAAACACAGTGTGCAGATAAGAGAAGATCAACCGAATAAACGACAGAGTACACAACATCTACAACGTTCCCCAACTAACCCACTTAACCAGCACTGTAAGGATATCGAAGACTTTTATGAGAGTCCTGGTTAGTTCCTTACTGGCTCCTAGGCAGCTATGACGGATTCATTAGAAATACATTCCCTTGAAAAACGGAGCAAGTAGCGAGTACTCGACGGACTGTAGACGTCTCCTTGCACCTATTTCCCTATCATTGCCATCCGGAGTGCCCTCCAGTGTCTATCTGTCAGTATATTTTCTGGACATTAATGGAACATTTTGACTCCGGAAAGACAATAACCATTGCACTCACGAGCACATCCTTATCGAAGGTTCTTCTTAGCCCTC